GTGTATTTGTATATATGTGCAAAAAAATGTACGGGGACACTAACAATTAGAGAAACCAGAAAGACTTCATGAAGTAGATGGTCCTTGAGTGGAGCCTTGAAGGGTGCTGGGGTCTCCATAAGGAAGAGGTGAGGAAGAAGGGGAAGGAGAACCTTCCAGGCTTGGGGGACAGCCTGGGAAAAGCCATGGAAACAGAACATTATCTCTAGGAAGCTGCATGTAGGGCAGTTTATCTGCAGCATAGAGTGCGTGAAAGGGAATAATTTATAAATCAGTCTGGACAGTTAGACTGGAGAGGAATCTGTACTTCATCCTAAAGACCGTGGAAGCTGTTGAAGTTTTGGGGGCTGCTAAGAACTGTGCTTGAGGGTTATGAATTTGCCCGCTGCATGGAGGATGAGCACAGTCTACAGTGAGGAGGGCACATGAGTGGCAGCTGGCATAACCCTGGCTGGTGTAGGGATCATGGGGTCATTGGTCTAGAGCTAGAAGGGACTTTAAAGGACATCTAGTCCAACCCCTCCATTTTACAGATAAGAAAACTGAGGCCCATGGAGGTTAAGTAACTTGTGCAAGATCACAAAGGTAACAAGTAGCACAGCAGCCTTCCTGGGTTCATGAATTAGGTGTTTCAAGACCTGCAGGACTAGGTAGTGACCTTTGTCACCTAAGGAAGGGACCTCAGAAGTCCCCTAATCCAATACGCTCCCTTTCCCTCATTTTACAGAGGAGGATATTTAGGCCCTGAGAAGCCAAGGCCACCCAGTCAATAAGTAGTAGAATGGGAATTAGCCTCTATATCTTCTGATTACAAATCCTGCAGGCTCTAAGGTCCTTAGGAGAAGAAAGATGTCACCCTACCTACTGTGTTAGACACCTCTTCAAATCACTGTACATTTTAGACAACTGCAATCTTTTCTTGCTCCCAAGCTTAAATCTGGTTGCACCTGAGCTCATGGGAGAGGGGTGTAGGGGCATTCTTTTCCTCTCTACATTGCTAACTCTCTTCCTAATATAAATGAGGCTAAAGGCCCATTAAACCCTGTCATCCTTAGACCTTTCTGTGATCCCTAGGACTCTCCCTATTCCAGATCCTTGCTATATGTCCTTCCCCAAGTATTTCCCAGGTTTTTGAGGTTTTGCTTGTGTCTCCATCCATTCTGTGGACAAGCGCAATAATGCCAGGGCTCTGAGAGCTGAGCTAGCTAATGCATCCTAAAGCCCTTGGCTTAGGAAAAGCACTGGACGGATGTTTAAGATTATGTTCCCACTAAGGAAGGATTATGTGGAGACTTGGCCTCAAGATCTATACCTAAGACGCTCTCTAGAGCCTCTGAATATGAAGTGTGGGTGTGAGGAACAGGAAGACAGGAAGAAGGAAGACTGGGAAGAGATGTCATTAGGGAATCTATGAGTTATGGAGCTGGGAAATGGGTAGTTAAGGGAAAAGGGGAGAGGGAGGGTTAAGTACAACCATTTGTGAACATTCTTAGCCTGGGGAGGGCTAAGAAAAAGGTGGTGGGTACCAGCCACTCACCTTTTACACTCAGAGGGCCCAAATCTCAGAAAGGCCCAGAGTAGGGTCTTGTCTGTTTTCACTCCATAACTAACTTGGCTCCAGCGTGTGATAAATTGGCCAGGGAAGCTAAGGAGCAAGGAAACAGAGTGCCTTCGGAAGAGGGTCAGCTTTGGTCTCATTTGATTTAAACCTTCCTAGAACATCAGGGAAGGGGTATAAACACTGAAGTGATGAAACTAGCCGAGGAGCCAAAACTGGGTGGAGCCCTCGTCACCAGGGAGGGCAGAGGAACAACACCAAGAAGGGGGAAAGAAATTAGAAACACGGACAGGAAATCACAGCCAGGGCCCCGCTTCAGCAAATAAGAGTAACAGGTCCTGAAGGGTAGGAGGAAAGAGCCTTGTGGACCCGGAGAGCCCATATAAGGCTCCTCACTCAGAGAGTCAGAGGCTGGACCTGGGGGTGAGGGGTAGGGGGAATGGACAGTCATCTGCCAGAGTGGGTCTAGGCAGATCCTAGAGCAAAGACCCCAGCACATTCAGGGCTGCCTCCACCGGGGCATTAGCCTCTGCAAGAAGAAGTTCAGGGAAGGACCAAGAAGGCTAACTATGGACAACTGGGCTACTGACCCTGCTACACCAAGAAGAGGTAGGTAGACAGTCGTGGGAAGATGGGGGGAGGGAAGGGAGAGGTGTGCGAGGACAGAGGGCTGAAAGGGCTAATTTATCTGGATGAGTTTAAAAAGATTAGCCTTAGTCCATCCATCCACCCCTTTGTTTCCTTCCCTCTTCCCCTACCATGCATAGAAAGTCAAGTCAATAAGCATTCAAATGCCTATATATGCCAAGCACTGTGCTAAATGCTAGCTAGGGATGCAAAGAAAGTCCCAAAAAGGCATTGGGGATTACCTATCCCTGCTCTCAAGGATCTCACTGTCTAATGGGAGAGACGTCATGCAGACATCTATGTATAAATAAGATACGTACGGGATAAATTAGAGATAGTCTCAGAAGAAAGGCACAGGAGAACGGGGAAAGGCTTCTTACCGAAGATGGAAACTTGGAGCATCCATGAACTGATGTCACAAAAAACTTCCTAACCATTGGGCTAGAGGGCCTCTGAGCTCCCTTCAGCTCTGAGATTCTGCCATGTTGTGATTATGTGAAGACACAAGTGCTGGCGGCATTGGTCTCTCGTAGGGTATAACTTACACACACACACACACAACACACACACACACACACACACACACACACACTTCCTTACTAGTCATCCTTTCTGGTCTTTCTAGCGAAAGGCCATCCTCTTTGATAGAAAAAAATGCAGTTGCAGTAAGAGTTGAGCAGCTCAGCCTTCTTTCCAGCATCGTTTACCATCTGCCTCACTCCCCCTGAGAAGGAAGCCAGTGCCTTCTTAGATGCAACCGTATACAAGCTCCTTCAGCACGGGGCTGCCACTACATCTGTATTTGTCTTCCCAGCAGCTGTCAGAGAGCCTGGCACAGATTAAGTACTGCACTTGCAGCCAGGAAGATCTGAGTATGGATTTGACCTCAGACACTCACTAGCCATGTGACCCTGGGCATGTCAGTCACCTCTCTGAGACTCATTTTCTTCATCATTAAAAGGGGGAGAGTAAAAGTACCTGTGGTAGCTTGGCAGAAAGATCTAAGGCTCTGGATTAAGGCTTCAGTCTTTTCTGCGGCATGGATTTGAATCCCACCACTGCCATCCAAGAGTTCTTTGGGCAGCTAGGTGGTGCAGTGAATAAAGTATGAGGCCTGGAGTCAGGAAGACTCATCTTCCTGAGCTCAACTCTGGCCTTAGATACTACTGGTTATGTGACCCTGCGCAAGTCACTTAACCCTGTTTGCCTCAGTTTCCTCATCTGTAAAATGAGCTGGAGAAGGAAATGGCAAACCACTCCAGCATCTTTACCAAGAAAACCCCAAATGGGTCCACCAAAGAGTCAGACAGGATTGAAAAGACTGAACAACAATGGGAGAGGGAGAGTTCAGTTTTTCTAGCCTTTCCCACGCATGCACACCCAGTTCAGCTCAGAAGATAAGAGATTTCCTTGTTTTGTCAATACCAGTAACGTGGGACACTTACGCCTGCTCTGAGGAGGACACTTCCAGAAGCAGACTAGCTAAACCTCTATAGATGTTGCCCCATGTTCTAAAGCCATCGCTGGCCAGTCCTTCTCGTTTACCACATTTGCATAATCTTTTCAGAGAAGAGGTATGACAAAATAGATTAAGGGCCTGAGGGGACAGGGAGACCTTTGTCCTAATCATGTCTCAGATATTTATTAGGTATGTAAAACCTGGGTTTAAGTCATTTTACCTCAATTTCTTCGTCTGTAAAATAAAGGGTACAAAGTAGCTCAAGGCAACTAATGGAGAGAGTACTGGGCCTGGAGCCATGAAGATCTGAGTTTAAAATCAGCCTGAGACACTGAGCTGTGTGACCCTCAGCAAGTCATCTAGCCTCTCTTTGCCTTGAGTTTCCTCATCTGTAAAATGGGGATAACAATAGCAACTACCTCCCAGGTTGTTATGAGGATTAAATGAGATATTTGTAAAATACGTTAGGTGCTATATAAATGCTAACTATTATTATCATTACTATAGATTTTATAGGGGGAGGCAGGAAAGAGAGAAAATAGATTTTTGCTCTTTGGAAAAAAATAAAATTAAGTTTAAAAATGAAATGAGAAAATTGGATCTAATGGCTTCTGAGGTCCCTTCCAGCTCTGACCATGATTCTAAAAGAAGGCATTGGGGTAGAGGGAGGCTAAGTATTGAGTCCTCTTCTCTTTTGTTCTAGAAAGGTCCTCATTTGCCCACTAGTTTAGATACCATGAGGTTCAGAGATAAAAGTGCCTGATCATAGGTTCAGAGATTTAGAGTTGGAAGAGACCTTAATTAAGGCCATCAACTCCAACCTTTTCATTTTGCAGATGAGAGATGGGTGGGGATTCTAAAGTAGTTTCTTCTGTCATTGACCTGCACCATAATTTTGGGAAAGACTTCCATTTCTATAAAGAAATCAAATGTTGAACCTTAAATGGATCTTAGAGAGATCCTCTAGTAAACACCTTTTCACACACACACACACACATTATCCCAACTTACATATGACCACCACAGAGGCCACCACCATGTTAAACTGCATTCTTGGAAGCAGAGTGTCCAGGAAGGTGGTGGTCCCTCTGTACTCTGCCCTAGTCTGGCTACATCCAGAGGAAGAATCACGTTCAGTCCTGGACACCCTATTTCAGGAAGGCCGTTGACAAGCTGACCCCAGCTAGACTGTTCTGCTACCCCTTGGGGCTCAGATTGGGCACTACTATTTCTTCTCTGAAGCCTTAGGATCTTGTTCAGAATGTAGTCTCAGTTGGGGCCAGCTATAGAATAGACACCCACAAGCAGGCCCACTCATCCTTCTCCATTAGAAGCTGATTTCTACTCTGCTTTCAGACCCATTCAGGGGCAAGGGAAGAAGGGCAATGACTCCAGTTAAGACAAAGAAACCTGTCTTCTTCCTGGCTTCTACCTCCTATTTGATGAGAAGTAAGAGCAAGAACACCTCAACAGCGTCCATTCTGATAGCCTTTATAAAACCTAAACGTCACTTTATATACAGTTTCCACCCCACCCCTTTTGGGGCACATATCTATCTGCCCTTATTTGATTGCAATCTCCTTAAGGCCAGAGACCAGGATTGTTTTCCAATATTGTATCCCCAATATTTAGTACAATGCGTTGCATATAGTAAGTGCTTAATAAATGTTTGAAGAGGGGCAGCTAGGTGGCATAATGTGTAGAGCACCAACCCTGAAGTCAGGAGGACCTGAGTTCAAAATTCCAGCCTCAGACCCAACCCTTGACACTAGCTGTGTGACCCCGGGCAAGTCATTTAATCCCAATTGCCCCCCCCCAATTTTTTTTTAAATGTTTGAAGGATTTAAGTACATTCAGGATAAACCTGGGCTGAGAATCGGGAGACCTAAAGTCTAGCCTGGCCTTGAAAACTGGATTACTATATGATCCTACTCAGCCTCTCTCTCATTTCTCCCTTCAATCCCCTCTTTGGAGAAATCACTTCCCCTTTGTAGCTCTTCATTTTTTTCATCTGCAAAATAAGGAACCCTGCCCCACACTCACAGGACCCTAGGATGGGTTTAACAATCTCTAAATTCCCTGACAATTCTGATATTCTATGGCATCATAGGGTGGTACTGTGGGTATTATTAACTCTGTTTTACAGATGAGGAAACTGAGGAAAAAGACGTGACATGTATCCACTAAAATCATATAAGTAGTAAGTGGCAGAAGGTGGAACTAGAATCCAGGTCTAGAACACCTTAGCTTAGTACTTGTGGTAAGATAGATCTTTGTATCTCTTCAAAAGCATTTCCTTGCTTAGCAATTGTGCAAGTTAAGTTTGCATAAAAATCCCCTGTAACTCAGGTCCTTAGCCATCTAGTTCTCTCTTAGATTGACCACTGTTCTATTCAGAGAACAGTAAGCAGCCATAGGCACCAGGGTCAGGGGTTGGAGGAAGCAGCCAGAGGGGTGGTCTGGGTCCTGACAGGCACCGACTCCTTCTCAGTGAGGACCACTGGAGGCGACGGAGAAGCCTTATGTGTAGCAGAAGAGGAACCTGTTGGAGAAGAGGAGGAAATGCCAGCATTCCCATGCACCCAGAATGGTAAGGGGCTCCCGAGTCTGGCGGGCAGGGCAGCCACGTGGCTAGGCCCTCACACTCTCATGAGAGCAAAGCAGCAGCAGAATAATCTGGCTGTGTCTCTAGCAGAGGCTGAGGTTATCTGCTAGCCATCTCACTTCCCACTGAAGTGCCCCAGACAGACAGGATCGATAAAGCAGTTTGGAAACAGACCAAAGTTTGTAATTTGCCTACTTCCTCTCTTTCAGTGCCCCTTCTTTTATTCCTTTCAATGCCCCTCTCCTTTCCTCTTTCCTCCCTTTCAATGCCCCTCTCCTTCCTCTGCCAGAGCCTCTTGCTGCCCACTGGGTATTAAGAACCATGCACACACCTCCACTCATGGGACCCTAGTTGGGATGTTTCTGATTCACTCCACCCCCATCAAAATGACAGGCCCTTCAGGGTCTGATTGAAGAGCCACTTAATCTGGTAAAGAAATGACCATTGGGTAAAATTTCTATTTTAACAGGTATGGATGGGGTCTGTCATTTAGAAGCTGAGATGACCAAGAAACAGATTTTGAGGTTGTGCCTAAATACCCTGAAGCCTGGGGCAAAGTTATATTGCTGTATTCTACCTGCCCCACATTAGGCACTCCCCCTCTCCGTCACCCACCTCCACCCCTGAGGCTGATCATAACCAGCCTCTCTCTCATTTCTCCTTCTATCTCCCCAGTCTCTGGCAAAGTTCCAAGTTCTGGACCAAGGTCCCTCATCTATCTTAGAGAGAAGTGAGGCTAGCGAGGGCTGCCAGAGGTTTGGGCAGGCCAAAGAAGATCTGAGGTTTGTGACTGTAGCTGCAGGGTTCAATTAAAAACAATTAGCGAAGCACTAAGTGGGTCCTGCCTCTGTCAGGAAGCAGCCTTCTTGGAGTCTCAGGTTGGTCTAGACCAGAAACATCAAACATCCTGAGTGCAGCCTGAAAACATAATTGGGAAATATTTAACAAAATAAATAAAAATACAATAAAACATAGATAACACATTTTAAAACTAAATTAAGATGAAGCCCATGGGGATCCTGATGTACAGATTACTGGCTCTACTTCTATCTGAGTATGACACCACTTCTAGATGTTGTATAGTGTGTTTCCCCTCAAATATACCTCACACGCTCAGAGATAACAGACAGAGACACCCCCAAAAGAAGGGAGAAAGAGACAAAAACAGAGGAAGTGCCTTAATAAGGTTAATTCTACTCATTACAAAGGCCTTTAGAACCAGGAGAAAACAGATGAGAAGCCTAGAAAAGGGAGTAGAAATCTACTCTCCTCTCATCCACCTACCACCTGAGGGAGATCAAGGCCAAGTTCGCGGAGGGAGCCCACTATCCCCAGTATCAGACCTAGACTTTGAGTAAGTCCTACCCTTCTTCCCACACAGGCCCAGCAGGGCCCAGCTGTAGCCGCTGTCAGAAGAACCTGTCCCTGCACACATCCGTGAGAATTCTGTACCTCTTCTTGGCCCTCCTGCTAGTGGCTGTGGCAGTGCTGGCTTCACTGGGTGAGTGGAGACCACCCTCCCCCCAACAGGCATGTCCTCCCCCAGCATGCATGACTTTCCTCATGCCAAAACTACTGAGGAAGGCTTGATCAGAGGACCTTGATCGCTTCCTACTATGTTCACTTCATCCCAATGAGCTTCTCAGGGTCTTCTGGCCCATGTTCCCAATCCCTGCCACTTTCCAGACTGGAGGATCTCAATGTCCTTTCAGACATAAATCAGAGGTTCTCAATCTTTGTGTTATGGACCCGTTTGGCAGCCTGGTGAAGCCTATGGGTCCCTTCTCAGAAGAATGTCTTTAAATGCATAAAATAAAATCCACAGGATTACAAAGGAAACCAAATATATTGAAATAAAGCTGCATTTTTTTTTCCTATCCAAGTTCATAGACCCTTTAAAATCTACCCACACAGGGGTCACCATGTCACATGACATAGAGCAAAGAACTCTGGACTCAAGAGTCAGGACACCTAGGCTCTAGCCCATCTCTGCCAATAACTAGCTTGGGCAAGTAACTCTGGGGCCTCACTCTGGGGCCAACTGGGGGTGTTAGACTAGTCCCTTATGACCTAACTCTCCAGCAGCTGGCTGGGGGGAGCTGACCAGCCTAGAGACAGATTCAGGCAATCTGAGCTCTTCTGACAGAGCATCCCACAGGGGCTAGCTAGATCCTGAGAGGACCAAGACAAGGAAACAGCCTGGGCCTGGAATCAATCCACTACTTAGCGTGTAAGCACAGGTCCTGAGGCTCCCTTCCTAACCACAGAGGTCACAGAAGGCAGCAAGCAGAAGGAAAAGTTTTCATCCAATCCTCCCACTGCTTTCGCTATGCTATAAATATGATTTAATAATAGCTGGGGGAGAGGAGGGGGAAGGGGATTAGGTAGTGCAGTGCATACAGCAGCGGCCCTGGAGTCAGGAGAACCTGAATTTAAATCTGGCCTGCGATACTCACTAACTGCGTGATCCTGGTCAAGTCACTTAACCCCAATTGCCTTAAAAAAGAAAAAGAAAAAGAAGAGACAAAGGGTATGCTGATAAATATTTAACGACCACATTTTTAAGTTTAATCAACATTTTTCTCCATGAAATCAACATTAATCAATGTTTTCTCCATCACTTTCTCAGTCTAAATATCAACAAAACAATGCCCTAATTTGTGGCATTTACACTGAAAATAGCTAGTTCAAGTGGCATTTACCCTGAAATAGCGGACTTTTTAGTTTTCAAAGCTCTTTATATGTGTATGGCCTGTGCTTGGTATGGGGAGCAGAGAGAGCTGCTTTCAGAGGCCTCTGATCCCTACCTGCTGCATGACCCTAGTCAAGTTACTTAACCTCTTAGGGCCCCAGACAACTCTCTAAACAGGCCTGCACAACATACAGCCTTCGACCCACTTGTGGCCCACCAAAGGATTTTGGGCCGCAGAAAATGTAGGGTTGCCACTTTGCACTCTTCTGTTTGTTACATAATCTGTGGCACCCAACCATTGTCAGTCTGTCTCCAGTCTGATCTGTCTGCGGCCCAAAGAAGTTTAGCCTATTTTAATTTTGGCCCCTACATACTGCCAACTTGTGCAGGTCTGCTCTAAACCTTCCTGCTGCCGAGAAGGTGCTGACCTGCATCGGCAGCAGGAATTTCCTCCTATGCTTGAGTTCTCCCTACACCAGGGAAAGCACAGGTCAGTTCCCTATCCTACCCCTCTTCAATTTTACACTGTGTTTAATTTTCACATTGATTGCAGCCTGAGCCAGATTTAACTGTAATTGAGAAATGTTTAACAAAAATTTTTTTAATTCAATACACTACAGATAATGTCAATATGTGGTTTTCTAAGTCAACATGGGACCTCCAGGGATCCATTTCTATTTGAGTTGGACACCACTGGACTAAAATGACTTGGGAAGTCCTTTCTAGGTCTAGATCTGTTATCTTAAGTTGCCTTTAAAAAAAACAATATTCACTGGTGAAAGTCAATGCCAGATCATCACTGAAACTCAAATAAAGTTAGTCTTCTTCCCTCCCAGATTCTGCTTCCTTTCCTAGAGATTCTGGCTTTGAGTAGCAACAGTCAGCCCCAGGCCCAGGCTGATGCTCAGTAGACAGGTGTTAATTAAAGGTCTAAGGGTCCACTGGGCCCATAGAAGATTCTCTTACATGCCACAGGGAATCCCAGATTGTTTTAATGTATCCCTGAGCAATAAGGGGGTCCTTTTCCTTCATTCCTTGATCATAAAGTTGTAGGATTTAGCGGTAAAGAGGAGTCAGCAAGACAGAACGGAGTCACAGGAGTCAGACCCCACTCTCCCACTTATCACAGGATCTAAAGGACCTTGAAGACCACTGAGTCCAATCTCCTCATTTTACAGATGAAGAAACTGATCCCCAGAGAGGTTAAATAACCTGTCCAGTCGCATAGCTAGTAAGTGTCTGATGTGGGATTTGAACCAAGGTTCCCCTGACTCCAGGTCCAGTGCCCTATCTACCATACCACTCACTATGATTGTCATTCAACACAAGTCATTCTACCTCCCTGACAGATCTCAACTCCTTCATCTGCAAGATGACAATCTGTGCTGGATGACCGCTAAATGTCCCTTCCCAGTCTCAAGCTCTGATTTTATAATAGTCATTTACTCGTTAGCATCCAGTTAACTGTGTGCCCAATCAAGCAACAGACATTTCTTAGGCTCTTCTCTTATGTCATTTCAGAGCCAGCAGGGCTGTCAGAGAGCTCCTAATCCAATTCCTTCCTGTTACATCTTCCCCCAAATTGCTCTGTTTCGTCTATTCAAATTCCCCTAAGGCCTTGCCTCTCATGTTCTTGCCTGTGTTTCTTCCACAGTGTTTAAGAAGGTTGACTCTCTCTCAGAAGACATCACCATCACCCAGTCAAACTATGAGAAGAAGATAGTCTCTGTGCAGGAAAACCTCCAGGAGCTAGGTGAGTGTGTCTACACCCCTCCTTATGGCTGCCCTGCCATCCAGGAGAGAGTCAGGTTTTTGCTCCCAAGTCACATACATAGCTACTGGGAGACTAGACAGTTTCACATCAGCCATTCTGGGTAAAATAATAACAGCTGACCTTAGAAAGGGCTTTAAGGTTTAGAAAGTGCTTTGTTCGGTTCTGTCGGACTCTCCTGCACCCCATGACCATTGCACGGCAATTCTGTCTAAGGGGTTTTCTCAGCAAAGATGCTGGAGTAGCTTGCTATGTGAATGGCTCTTGAGTGAATTGAAACAAACAGACTTACCTAGAGTCACACAGCTAGTAAGCATCTAGGCTGGATTTGAACTCAGGTCTTCCAGACTCCAGACCCAGAACTCTATTCACTGAGCCATCTAGCTGCCTACTAGGCAAACAGAAGTTAAGTGACTTGCCCAGGGTCACAAAACAAGTAAATGTCTGAGGCCAAATTTGAACTCAGATCTTCCTGACTCCAAGCCCAGAGCTCTATCGCTGTATCTATCATCTAGATAGATGTTCTATCATCTAGCTGCCTCAGCAAAGTGTTTTGCATACATATAATGTTTCACTGAAGCCTTACATACAACAACCCTGTGAGGTAGCTGCTGTACGGATCAGTCCTGTTACAATTTATAATCTAAGAGTTGCCTGGACCATTGAAAGGTAACATTGCCCAAGATAACATCGTCAGTATGTGTCAGTGGTGAGACTCGAACGCAGACTCTCTAATCTTAATGCTATGTTTCATTGTTGTTGTTGTTGTTGTTGTTGTTGTTATTGTTATTATTATTATTATTATTATTATTATTATTATTACTATTATTATTATTATTAGTGGTGGTGGTGGTGGTGGTGGTGGTGGAGCTGCTACTGTGCCTGGAGAGGGCCTAAGGTCACACAGCAGATAGTGGAAAGAGGGCTGGATTTGAAATTAAAGAATCTGCATTTGGATCTCAGCTCTACTACTTACATGGTTGTCCTTGAGTAAGTTACTTCAGCTCTCTGGGCCTCAGTTTCCCTATCTGAAAAATGAGATATTTAGACTAGATGACCTCTAAAGTTTCTTCCAGTTCTAAATCTTTTTTTCCAAAGTATCTGAGAAAAGATCCAGATCACCCTGACTCCAAAAGCAGCACTCCATCCACTACACCACATTGCCTTTGAAATAAGGGTAGGAAATAATGGTAACTAATGTTGCAAGATACTGAGACCTCCTGGGTCCCTTTCAACTATAGGATTTCCTCCTTCTCTGATTGCTTTGCCTTCCAGAGAGGGAGGCAGCCCCTTGGGGACAAGCACGTCTTTGAAGTGGAGTCAGATGAGACCAGTTTGAGGAGGGGCGTAACTCCTCACAAGCCCACCATGTTCCATGGGCAGGAGATGCAGCCCCGGTGCATGTATGAATGTATATACAGACCACCATTCTTTCTGGCAGAGAAAATAGGGTGTGTTAAGAGTTAAGCAGGACTCCTGTGCATCATCCTATCCACTCTAACCCTGATTCCTCCACTCCTGCCTCAGTCCTCACCTCCTCTCCACCAGAAACTTTGGCTCTGCCCAGGGATTTGCTTGTAAGTGATTAACATTTCCCAGGCTTTCCAAAGTCGGGGATAGGGAAGCATGCACATTGTTTTAAGTTTAATCTTCATTATTAATATGCTCTCAGGAGTCTAGACAATCAACAAACAATAAATCAAGGCCTGATTTGTAGTGATTTCCTATTTCTGAGGTTTTAATACCCACTTTAAAAACTTAAGAATTGACAGAGCTGGCTCCATCATACTGCAGACTCTACCCTTGGAAGCATCCTGGGATCTAATAGATGGGGCTTTCGCCTTATCTTTCTCAGTCCCAGGCCTTTACATCACTTCCTGGATATCTCCAGACCTAGCTACTTTGTGGTTCCTGCCCTCCCACCCACCTACCCATATGCATTTCCTTGTATCCCTCTTCTTCCATTAGAATGTCTGTTCCTTGAGGCCAAAGACTGTCCCACTTGCTTGTGTTTGTATCATCCAGCCATTGCCAGTTGTCCTGACTTTTGTCTTGCCACTGGACTTAGATGACTCTGGAAGAGACAGTGAGGCTGACAACTTTGTGCAACTCTGTCTTACTTAAATCTAATTCACACACGAGTCAAGATATCACATGAGATGTCATTGGTCCTACCTGAAAACGAAGGATGAACAATATCATTCCCACTCTTTTTTCCCCTAGGAAGTAACAAAAACAAAACAAAACCTTTTTGATCATCTTAGCTTTCCCCCTCAGCCTTAGAACATTTGAGCTTCAGCATCCGAGACACTGCTCTTAAAAAATCTTGCATTGATTTTGTATTCTATTACCTGCCCTTGCCTCCATCTCAATACATCCTTTAAAAAAACTAACTCGGTTGATCAGTTTCCTGTCAAACTCCATTGATCTCTTTAACAGTTCTTCCTTTTCCTCAGAATTATTTCTCTTTGCATGAGGATTTGAGAGCTTCCTGTCCTTTCTGGGGCTGACATTCCCCCATGGAATCTTAGTTCACAGAATCTTTCCTACTCATCCCTTCCCTGAATCCTTTGACATCTGCTCTCCCAAGATCTAAGAATACCTATTTTTTCACAACTCCCTTTTCTATCATTCTAAGACAAAGCAGTTATTCCCCCCCCAGGGTTGCCATCATTTTTCCTCCACATCAAGCTCTTCCTTATTGGCGAAAATCAGATTCAGAATAGAATTTCCTTTTGTAGGTTCCTCTTCCTTTTAAAAGATGAAATGATCACTAAAACAAGACGAAGAGTAATTGGTGGCTCTGCTTTTGACAGATACCCTCCAGTAGATGTCTGGAAAATTGAAGTCCCCCCTCCCTTGCATCACCGTCATATCATGCCTTTGTGCCATGCTTTTGATCTGTTTCTCAGGCTATGAATCTATTTCTCTTCTCTGTACAGGTGGTCTATGAGTCATAGTCTGATGGAATATTGTTTCTGTGTCTGTCTTTGGTAAAATTTCACCCAAATGTTGTCTTCATCCTGTCTCTCCTCTCTGGTTGCTAGATTTCCTCACATAAGTACATCTTTCTGATATACAGTTATTCCTTCCACATCATAACTTCTCCCACCATAGTTTCACTGTATCACAGATCACACAAGAAATTAAATGGGAACTTGGGGGGAGTTTTGTGGAAGCCGCAGACAACACGTAAAGGCCAGCAAGCGACCCAGAAAAGGTTTAGAAACTCAGAAATGCATAAAATATATGTAGAGTGTTGTAAAATATCAACACATTTATCTTTTAATAATAATTCAGACTTTCTTCTCTGGTATGAAGGGAGGGCCAAAAAAATTTTACATGGATTTTCGAGATGGAGGGGGTGCCGTTCCCCTAACCCTCATGATATGAGGGGAATAACTAACTGCACAATATTACTACTTACATCCCAACTTTTACCTATTCAGTTCCTTTCTATAAAGCAAGGGTTTTTAAGATGAGGTGCAAAGACTCTCAAGGGATCTGTGAATTTAGATGGAAGAAAAGAATTAAATCTCTACTTTCCTAATCTCTTTCTGAAATTTAACATTTCCTTCAGTTATGAACATTGGAGACAAGCATTATTCTGAGAAGGGGCCCATGGGCTTTACCAGACTGCCACGTTGGCCCATCCTTGCTATAAAGTATGTCCTTCCAGGGCCATTTTCCAGTCCTGGTTCTCATCTCACCATGTCTCGGGAAGACCTATGAAGTCATTTAATTTTTCTGGGTCTAAGGTTCCCCACCTACCAAATGAGGTTAATACCAGTCCTACCTGCCTCCAGGAGCTAATAAGAAAATCAGAGAAAACAATAACAAACATGAAAACATTTCAAAAAAATTTTAATATTATACACACATAAGATTTTATACTTGCTTCTTCACTGTGGTGAGGAACTGACCCTAAATTCTCAAAGGCTACTGAGTCTCTATTCAATCAGCAAATCAATAAGCAAACCTTCATTAAATATCTACTATGTGCCACCATTGTACCAGGCTCAGGGGATGTAAGCAGCAAAGTGAGACACTTCTTTTTTTTAAAATTTATTTATTTTTAGTTTTCAATATTCACTTCCACAAGTTTTTGAGTTCCAGATTTCTCCCCCATCCCCCCACCCCAAGATGGCATGCATTCTGAATACCCCTTCCCTTGGTCTGCCTTCTCTTCTATCTCTCCCCCCTCCCTTCTCTTATCCCCTTCCCCTTCTATTTTCCTGTACAGCAGGATAGACTTCTATACCCCATTTCCTGTATTTCTTATTTCCCAGTTGCATGTGAAAACATTTTTTTAAAAACATGTGTTTTTAAAACTTTGAGTTCCAAATTTTCTCCCTTCCTCCCTCCCCACCCACCCTCATTGAAAAGGCAAGCAACTCAATATAGGTTGTACATGTGCAGTTATGCAAAACACGTCCATAGTAGACATGTTGTGAAAAACTAACTCTATTTCCCTTAATCCTATCCTGCCCTCCCATTTATTCTATTCTTTCTTTTGACCCTGTCCCTCCTCAGAAGTATTTGCTTCTGATTACCCTCTTTCCCAATCTGCCCTCCTCTCTATCACCCCCTGCTCTCTTGTCCCCTTCTCCCCCTATTTTCCTGTAGGGTAAGACAGATTTCCATACCCAATTGAATGTGTATGTTATTCTCTCCTTAAGCCAAATCCTATGAGAATAAGATTCCCTCATTCCCTCTCACCTTCCCCTGTTTCCCCTCCACTGTGAGAGACTTTTCTGGGTTTTTTTTTTTTTGTGAGATAATTTACCCCATTCTACCTCTCCCTTTCTTCTCCGAGTATCATCCTCTCTCATCCCTTAATTTTATTCTCCAGATATGACCCCTTAATCTTCAACTCACCCTGTGCCCTCTATCTATCTATCTATACATACATACAATTTATTTCCTTCAACTACCCTAATACTGACAAAGTTCTCATGAGTTACAAATATCATCAAAGTGAGACCCTTCTTGCATTCGAGAAGCTAGCATTCTACTGGACTCTAGTAACAAGAGAGATAGAATATGTTCACAGATGATCCATCAACCAACTAATAAGAAGGGCAGCTAGGTGGCACAGTGGATAGAATGCTGGACCTAGAGTCAGAAGACTCATCTTTGTGAGTTCAAATCTGGCCTCAGATACTTACTAGCTGTGTGACCACGGGTAAGTCACTTAACTCTCTTTGCCTCAGTTTCTTCATCTGCAAAAAGAGGTGGAGGAGGAAATGGCAAACTACTCCAGTATCCTTGCCAAGAAAACCCGAAATGGGGTCACAAAGAGTCAGACACGACTGAAATGACTAAACAACAACAACTAATGAGTATTTATTGGGCATGTACTATGTGCCAGGCATTGTGCTAGGTTCTGGACATACGAAGACAAAAGGAAGCAGTTCTTGCCCCCAGGGAGTTTACACAAGAGTAGGGGTTCTTGACGGAAGGTCTGGGATCTTGCTTTTTAAAGTATTTGGTAACTGTATTTCAACACTATTGGCTTCCTTGGTAATCCAATGCATCTTATTTTAAACATTAAAAAGCATTATTCTGAGAAGGGGCCCATAGGCTTCACAAGACAGTTGCAGAGGTCCATGACTCCAAACTTTCTACGCTAGAGGGATACAACATGTACAAAGACAAGTAAATATAAAATAGCTTTTTCAGAGTACACAATAGTGGGGGTAGGGCGGGGAATCGGACAACTGGAGGGAAATCTAGAAAGCTTCCAAATAAGGTGTCCAGTCATCTGAGCATTAGCCTATTTCTCATCACCAGAAGGTTGGCCACAAAATTATTTTTTCTTTTCTTTTCTTTCTTTTTTTGGAGGATAGGGTTATAGCAACCATCTAGGATGCTATAAAGGAATGGTAATTTATGTCAAAGGAGAGAGTAATAACTTAGAAGAATCTGAAACCTTTTGAAGTATTAAATATTATTTGGGTAGGTAGGTAACTAGGTAAGTAGATAGATAGACACATGGGGCAGCTGGTGGCGCACTGGATAGAGCAGTGGCCCTGGAGTAGGGAAGACCTGAGTTCAAATCCAGCCTCAGACACATAACACTTACCAGCTGTGTGACTCCGGGCAAGTCACTCAACCCCAATTGCCTCAACAACAAAAGAATTTTAAAAAAAAAGATAGACATAGATATAGATTGTAGATATATGTCAGACAAAAGATAGAGAGGGAACATTTATTAAGCACTTGTTACAGCCCAGGTACTATGCTAAGCACTGGGAATAGAAATACAAGCAAATAAGATAATCCTTGCTTTTGTGGAGGCAATACTAATTTCTAATGGAGGAAGACAGCAGTAACAAAGCACTAGAGAGCTTAAGAGAAACACACAAGGGCAGTCTGGAGATGGCTAGGAGATAGCCCAGATGGGTCTGGGCCAAAGAGAAAACAAAATTCCACCTATAAGGACCCAGGGTTGCTCTTGGGTCAGTCATCATCATCATCATCATAGTTTTATAGTTCCGAAAATCTAGGGGGACAAAATCCTGTGGGCCTGTGTGGAATGGGTAGTAAAGGCTTACTTTTTCCAAACTCTAATTTATAAGAAAACACTCCAGGCAAATGAGAAGCTTTTCTAAGTGAGATTTTGCAGGAGGAATTATACAAAGAGGTTAGGGTGTCTGTCTCCTACTTTCTCACCTTTGTATTTCTCCTAGTTAATGCCTAGCATAGTTCAGTGCATAAATTGGCACTTAATAAATTATGAAAGAATTAATGATGCCAGCTGGCCAATGCTTTCATGCCTGTCAGTAGTGAGATTAGGCCCTTAAATTGCCACTGTATTTCCAGCCTGGGTGAGATGAGGAGACTCAAGCTTTTAAAAATTTAAATTAAAGGGGCAGCTAGGTAGCACAGTGAATAGAGCTCTGGCCTTGGAGTCAGGAGCACCTGAGTTCAAATCTGGCCTCTGACACTTGACGTTTACTAGCTGTGTGACCTTGGGCAAGTCACTTAATCCCAACTGCCTCACCAAAAAAAATCAAATTAAAAAAAATGTTAGTGATTGAATGGGAAAATAAACTCCTTTCTTTACAGAAGCTGTCCCTGTTCTATGACCAGCTTTCTCATTTTCTCCTATAGATCAGAAAGCCCTGGGCAATTGCTCCTTCTGCCATGACACGGGACAAGAGATCCACAAACTTCAGCAGGAGCTAGAGGAAATCCAGAAGATGCTTCTAGTCCAGGAGATTCAGTTGGATCAGACGTCCCAGACCCATCAGCAGCTCTTCTCGGCCAGCAACCAAATCACGGCTGTGGTAGACAGCTGCTCCTTCTCCATCCACCAGGTCAACCAGACTCTGGGGCAGTTCCTGGCCCAGGTGAGGGGCTGGCAGGCCGCCATGGCTGGACTGGACTTTTTGCTAAAGGGCCTGACACAGGACTGCTATGATGTCAGGGCAGCCGTACAGCAGATCAATTTCACAGTGGGGCAGACCTCAGACTGGGTCCACATGATCCAGCGCAAGACGGAAGAAGAGACCTTGACCCTGCAGAAAATGGTCAGTGAGTGGCAGAACTACACCCGGCTCTTTGGTGGCCTGCGGGCCACCTCAGCCAAAACTGGGGAACTAGTCAAGAGCGTACAGACCAGCCTCAGTACCGCCTCCCAGCGCATCAACCAAAATTCTGAGGGCATCCATGACTTGGTGTTGCAGGTGATGGGCCTGCAGCTGCAGCTGGACAATGTCTCATCCTTCCTGGATGACCACGAGGAGAATATGCATGACCTGCAGTACCATACGCGCTATGCCCAGAACCGGACTGTGGAACGTTTCGAGACCCTGGAAGGTCGTATGACTTCACACGAGATCGAGATAAACACCATTTTCACCAATATCAATGCCACAGACAACCACGTACATAGTATGCTCAAGTACCTGGACGATGTGCGGCTGTCCTGCACGCTGGGCTTCCACACCCATGCCGAGGAGCTCTACTACCTCAATAAGTCTGTCTCTGTCATGCTGAGCACCACGGACTTGCTGAGGGAGCACTTCAGCCTGCTCCGTGCCCGGCTGGACTTTGACATCCAGAACCTCTCAATGGTCATGGAGGAAATGAAGGCCGTGGATGTCCGGCATGGAGCCATCCTCCAGAACGTCACCATCCTAAGAGGTGAGGGCTCTTTGTGTGTAATTTATAGGTTTCTAAGGATGAATCACTTAGCCTGAATTGCATCTAGCTCAATTCAATTAATGATAATAATAATAATAATGTAATTACTGCATTAATGATTTATTATAAGTATTTATATATAGTATGTTAAGGTTTACAAAGCACTTTGGGAAGAAGCAAATAAGCACTTACTAAGCGCTTACTATATGCCAGGCACTGTGCTAAGAGCTTTACAAATATTATCTCAGTTTGTTCTCACAACAACCCTGGGAGGTAAATGCTTTATTATACATATTTTATAGATGAGGAAACTGAGATATACAGAAGATAAGTGGCTCACCCAGGGTCACACTGCTAGTAAATGTCTGTAGGAGGATTTGAACTCACAACTTCCTGACTCCAGATCCAGTGCTCTGTCCGCTATATCAAGCATCTGCCTCAATTCAATTCAGTTTAACTTAATTCAACTCAACAAGCAATTTTAAAGCAGTTACTATGGGCCCAGGACAGCTAGGTGGCACAGTGGATAGAGTGTCAGGCCTAGAGTCTGGAAGAATCATTGTCCTGAGTTCAAATCTGGCATCAGACCCTTACTACTGTATGGCCTGGGGCAAGTCACTTAACCCTGTTTGCCTCAGTTTCCTCATCTATAAAATGAGCTGGAGAAGGAAATAGCAAACCACTCTAGTATCTCTGCCAAGAAAACCCCAAATGGGGTCACCAAGAGTCAAACATGACTGAAAACAACTGAACAACACTACGTGCTCAAGACAGTATTGGGGGGGAAAAAGACAGTACTGGGGATACAAAGATAGTCCCTGCCCTCAAGAAGCTTATATTTTATTGGATTTCCTTTTTTTTAATCTGTAAAATGGGATTAACAATACTTGTATTACTAATGTCATAGGACAAGATTCTATTATCCTGATAAAGGGGAAAATAGCATCATAACAATTTAGAACTGGAAGGAAACTTAGAGGCAATTTAGTCCACTGTGATGACAGGAGAAGATGATTGGTTTAAAAAAAAAAAGCATGGGGGCAGCCAGGTGGCAAAGTGGATAGATCACAGGCCCTGGATTCAGGAGGACCTGAGTTCAAATCCAGCCTCAGACACATAACACTTACTAGCTGTGTGACCCTGGGCAAGTCACTTAATGCCATTGCCTAACCAAAAAAAAAAAAAGCTTTTTAAAAAAGTTTAAAGTCCTAGGCCTGTAGAAAGAGCTATTATTGCCTCTTTAAGTTTATAGTCTGAGACCAAATAGCAGAACAGAACTCAGGGTGGGCAGCACGGAGTTGATGTGGCCAAGAGTCAGCCTAGCTTGAATTATAACACTAGCTCTGTGTTAACATGCCTTGTGGCTCTGATTCTTTGCTTCCTTATCTGTTCAAATGAAGAGGTGGAGATGCTGCCCAGTTCAGCATGCAAAGTTCAGGGTGTTGGGTACTAAACTTAAACTGGAATTATGATTATATGAGTTTTAAGAATCTTAACTATTATACTCATTGATTTTAGTAAACACTGGTGACATTTTTGTTTTGCTTGACTTTGTTTTGTTTTTGATTTCTTTTTTAAATTTATTTAATATTTTATTTTCCCCCAACTACATGTAAAAACAATTTTTAACATTTGTTTTTAAAACTTTGAGTTCCAAATTCTCTCCCTTCCTCATTCCCTATCCCCCTGCTTGAGAAGGCAAGCAATTTGATGTAGGTTATACATGTGTAGTCAGGTAAAAGATATTTCCATACTAGTCATGTTGTAAAAGAAAACATAGACAAAAAAACAATCTCAAGAAAAATAAAGTTTAAAAAAGTATGCTTCAGCCTGTATTCAGACACCATCAGTTCTTTGCCTGGGGATGCATAGCATTTTTCATCATAAATTCTTCAGAGTTGTCTTAGATCATTGTGTTGCTGAGCATAGCTAAGTCATTCACAGCTGATCATCTTACAATATTGCTGTTACTTAGTACACAGTACATTTCGCTTTGCATCAGTTCATGCAAGTCTTTCCAGGTTTTTCTGAGAGCATCCTGCTCATCATTTCTTACAGTACAGCAGTATTCCATCACAGTCACGTAGTACAACTTGTTTAGCCATTCCCCAATTGATTGACATCCTCCCAATTTCCAACTCCCTGCCACCAGAAAAGAGCTTCTATAAATATTTCCATACATATAGGTCCTTTCCCATTTTTTTTAAATCTCTTTTTGGATATAGACCTAGTAGAGGCACTGCTAGGTCAAAGGGTATGCATGGTTTAATAGCCCTTTGGGCATAGTTCCAAATGGCTCTGAAGAATGATTGAGGGGCAGCTAGGGGGCACAGCGGCTACAGCACTGGCCCTGAAGTCAGGAGGACCTGAGTTCAAATGCGGCCTCAAACTAAACACTTGACACTCACTAGCTGTGTGACCCTGGGCAGGTCACTTAACCCCAATTGCCTAAAAAAAAAATGATTCAGTGAGTTCACAACTCCATCAACATTGCATAAATGTCTCATTTTTCCCACATGCCCTCCAACATTTGTCATTCTCCTTTTCTGTTCTATTAGTCAATCTAATAGATATGAGGTAGTACTTCAAAATTGTTTCGATTTGCCTTCCTCCAATCAATAGCTATTTAGAGCACCTTCTCATATGGCTATAGATAGCTTTGATTACTTCACTTAAAAACTGTTTATATCTCTTGATCATTTATCAATTGGGGAATGGCTCCTATTTTTATAAATTTGACTCAGTTCTCTATATATTTGAGAAATAAGGCCTTTATCAGACAACCTTGCTTCAACATTTTTTCACAGTTATGATTGCTAAATGTATTTCCCTCCATCCTATTCCCCTATTTATTCTCTCTCCTTTCACCCTGTCCCTACTCAAAAGTGTTTTGCTTCTGACGACCACCTTCCCCAATTTGCCATCTACTCCATAACCTCCCCCACCTCTTTTCTTACCCTTCCCTTCCTACTTTCCTATAGGGTAAAATAGATTTCTATACCCAATTGAGTGTGTATGTGATTCCCTCTTTGAGCCAATTCTTCTGAGAGTAAGGTTCACTCACTCCCCCCCACCTTCCCCATCTTCCTCTCCACTATAAAAGCTTTTTCTTGTCTCTTTTATGTGAGATAATTTACCCCATTCTACTCCTCCCTTTCCCTTTCTCCCAGTACAATCCTCTTTCTCACCCTTTAATTTCATTTTTTATATATCGTCCCTTCATATTCAACTCACATCTATGCCCTCTGTCTATATATACTTCTAATTGCCCTAATAATGAGAAAGTTTTTGTGAGTCACAAGTATCATCATCCCATGTAGAAATATAAACAGTTTAACCTTGTTGAGTCTCTTATGATTTCCCTTTCCTGTTTACTTTTTATGGTTCTGTTGAGTCTTATATTTGAAAGTCAAATTTTCTATTCAGCTCTGCTCTTTTCATCAAGAATGCTTGAAAGTCCTCTATGTCACTGAATGTCTATTTTTTCCCCTGAAGGATCATACTCAGTTTTGCTAGATAGGTGATTCTTGGTTGTAATCCTAACTCCTTCACCCTCCAGAATATCATATTCCAAGCCCTCTGATCCTCTAATGTAGAAGCTGCTAAATCTTGTGTTATCCTGACTGTGGCTACACAATACTTGAATTGTTTCTTTCTGGCTTCTTGCAATATTCTCTCTTTGACCTGGGAGTTCTGTAATTTGGTTATAATATTACCGGGAGTTTTCATTTTGGGATTTCTTTCAGTAGGTTGATTTTACCCTTTGCTTCTAAAATATCAGGGCAGTTTTCCTTGATAATTTCTTGAAAGATTATGTGTAGGCTTTTTTTTTTTATCATGGCTTTCAGGTAATCCAACAATTTTAAGATTATCTCTCTTGGATCTATTTTCCAGGTCAGTTGTTTTTCCAATGAGGTATTTCATGATGTCTTCTATTTTTTCTTTCTTTTGGTTTTGTTTTATTGTTTCTTGATTTCTCATAAAGTCATCAGCTTCCATTTGCTCAATTCTAATTTTTAAGGAATTATTTTCATCAGTGAACTTTTGTACCTCCTTTTCCATTTAGCCAATTCTACTTTTTAAGGAGTTTTTTGTGTCTCTTCTTCCATTTGGCCAGTTCTGCTTTTCAAGGCATTCTTCTCCTCATTGGCTTTTTGTACCTCTTTTGCCATCTGGCCTAGTCTGTTTTTTAAGGTATTATTTTTTTCAGTATTTTTGTTTGTTTGTTTCCTTTACCAAGCTGCTGACTCTTCTTTCATGATTTTCTTGCATCACTCTCATTTCTCTTCTCAATTTTTCTTCTGCCTCTCTTACTTGATTTTCAAAATCCTTTTTGAGCTCTTCCATGGCCTGAGACAAATGTTGGAGCTTTGACTTTGTTATCTTCTTCTGAGTGTGTGTTTTGATCTTCTTTGTCACCATAGTAACTTTCTATGGTCAGAATTTTTTCTGTTCTTTGCTCATTTTTCCTGTCAATTTCTTGACTTTTAGCTCTTTGTTAAAGAGGGGCTCTGTTTCCATGGTGGAGGGCTCACTGTCCCAGGTTTCAGGGGTTTTGTGCAGCTATTTTCAGAGATACTTCTAGGGACCTGTGAGTTTTCAGTTCTTCCAAGGTGGTATGACCTAAGGAGAGGTCTACACTACTCTACAGGCTTGTGCTCTGGTCTGTGGGTGATCACAAGCACTCTTTCCTGCCCTGAAATTGTGACAAGGGTGATACTATGACACTGTGGCCTCAAGCTCTGTTGGGCTAGTGCTCCTCCCCACCCTGGGACTGCTACCCAGATCTGAGTGTGGGCAAAGCAATAGAGTCCTGTCCCTAATGCCAGCAAAGAGACTCCTATAATTTCTTTCTCATCAGTTGTTCAACCCCTTTACTATCTGTGGGTTAAGCACTCCAGAAGCAGCCAATGCTGCTGCTGATGCAGTGGCTCCCAAGGCCTGCCCTGGTTTGCTGGGGGCTGGTCTGTGCTCCACTCTCACCCAGGTACTCCTTACTT